AAAAAAAAAAGTGCTATGTATTGACTAAAGGCAATTCATGAAAAAATATGGAAGAAAACAGTAAACCATACTCCCATGCAAAAATTGTTAAACATATTTTAATTTATAAATTTTAGTTGAAAATATACATATATCTTCTATAAAATGACATTACATTGTAAATGCTACTTTTAATCTTGTTCATTTATTAACAGTGTATCAAAAACCTATCTACTGACCATTCATTTAACTTTGCCCACATTTTTAACACCAGAAATTTATTCCATTGGCTTGAATGAATGTACATAATTTCCTAATCTGTTTCCTGCTGCATATGCAAATTTTTGCTCAATTTCTCAATTTTTAAGTGCTGTGATAAAGCCCTTCTCAATTTTTAAGTATTGTGATATAAAAATCTGCTATGTCTCCCTGATAAATGACAAGTGGAAATGAGACAAAAGCACATTAAAAAAACACTGGTTAAAGTTTTTAAAAAACATTACCATTGCCAATTATATTTCAAAACTATGCTACCAATTTCCACCTTCACTGTCACTGTCATTTAGTACAGAAATATTTACTACCTTTGAGTCCAAATATTTTCCAATTTGACAAGAAAGAATGTCAGTTTAACTTGCTACTCTGGTCATCATTGGAAGAAACATTTTTCATATTTTATTATGCCATGTTAAATGTATCACTTCACCACCCTACTTTTAATTAAATACTTAAGTTAGTTTAAGTACTTAAACATTCAAGACAATGAAACACAGTTTGTCATATTTTAGCCAGTATTTCCAGGTTACTTGTCTTTTAATTATGGTTAAGCTGATGGATGTATATGTTTTAAATTTTTACAAATTAAATCCATTATTTTTTCCTTTTAACATTTTATGCTTTTATGCCAATAAAGGCCTACTCAACTTTGAAAGCAGTTAGTCACGATTAGTACTTTCGGTCTTATTTTTATATTTAAATATTCTGATATATCAATATAATTTATTTTGGCATTAGGGATAAAGTATGCAGCTGCTTTAACTTTCCTTTCAAATAATAAACTACCTAAATACTTGATAATAAAGAATTCAATCTTCCATAAAACTTAATGTGACCTTTTATAATCTTCAATACATTATTTTATACATTAAGGTTTATTGCCACACTTGATGTTACATTTCAATCATATCTTCAATAATGAAAACAGTATGTCAGTGTGATTTTGTCAGTAACTGGTAGTATTCATTATGAGTAGGGCAGCTAATGGTAGAGTAAGAAGCATGAGTTTTAATAAGCAGAAAGTAAAGTCACAGATCAAAACAGAAACAGTACCAGGAGGAAAGGAAAGTGTAAGAAATTATAGTAACAGTCTTTCCGTTTGAAGTCTCACATTTATCAGATCCCAGGGACAGAAGACATTATGAGTATTTAAACACAGGGAAAACAGGACAGTGAAAATGAGTATGAAAAGTCCTTCACCCGGTCAGAACTATGGTAGTATCAAAGAACAGGAAAGTCCCCTTACTTTTAATCAAGATCAACTCATTGTATTACTAAGTTTTAATGCTGATCATTATGAACCAAGCTTGAAGTGACATGCACAAAATGCAGTCCTAATAATGCCTTACCAGTAAGGGGTGCCAATGAAAGACTTTCTCTTTGCAATGGTAGCTGTTATTTTTGCAGCCACACCAAAGTCAGCTGGTAGGGAAAAAAACAAAAAAAAACTTTAGTTTTAAAATGTTGTACAAAATTTATTCACTTAGTTCATTTTTGTCACAGTATACCATTCTTAACTGTAACTTTTTATGACTAATGTTCCATAAGCGGATGCTATCACAATTTTCAGCTACTGGACCTATTTTTGCATTTTTATAATAAATAATACTATGATTAGTAATGCAATTATTAAAGTAGTATTTTGTGAATACGGGCTTTCCTTTTTTGAGATTAATTTCCTAAAACTGAGTCTTAGGAATAAAATTATTGGATCAACAGATGAACAGTATTGAGGTTCCTGATATGAACATGAAACTTGTAAAATGATAACTCATTAGAATTTAATTTTTTTAAATTATAACTTTAAATTCTTATTTAAATTTTTATAAAAGTTTTTTTTTTAATAAAGTTTCAGGAACTTGAATAACATACCTAATTTTACATCACCATGATCAGTCAATAAAATGTTTGCACCCTAAAACAAAAATAAAAGTACTATTAAATTAGTATCACAAAATTCCTTCCAGTAAAATTATTAATTTAAACAGGTTAAATGAACTTACTTTGATATCTCTATGCATTTTCCCTTTAGTATGCAAATAGGCAAGGCCCTATAGTGGGTGGGGGGGAGGGAAAAGCAGGCATTATTAGCTTGTAAATTTGGCTCCTGAATTTTCTACATTTATTCCTATTAAATATGAAAGATCGAAATATCTTTTAGGAGGAAAATAGAAACCTGGATGAGTTTCTGTTTACTGTAAAATTTCTAATTCATTTTTGGACAAAAATCAAATATTTTGTATTACCATCACCACAATCAAGATAATGAACATACCCATCATTCCCAAAAGTCCCTCACATTCACAAACATAAATCCGTTGTTAATACAGATTAAATTTCAATTTTTAGTTTTATGTAAACAGCGTCATGAAATATATTCTTTACTGTCTAGCTTCTTTGATTCACGCCAATGTGAGATTTCTTGTTAACATGAATGTCAGTAATTCATTCATCACCAAGTAGCATCCCATTGTATAGATGGACCAGAAATTGCTTACGCATTCACATATAGATGGACATTTGGGTTGCTTGGTTGTTTCCTGTTTTGGGCTATTGTAAAAAAACTGCCTTTAACCTTCAAATAAAGGTCAATGTATGAAATTCTTCCACTTTGGTTAATATCTAAGAATGTAATAGCTTGGTCAATTAGTGATACTCTTATACAACTACCAAATTGTTTCTTCCAAAGCATCTATGCCATTTTATATTGGAACCAGCAGTTTCTAAGAGTTCTAATTAATCCAAATCCTTACCAACTTAAGATCAGTCTTTTTTATGTAGTGATTCTAGTTAAAATGTATTGCTATTTTGTGGCTTTTCTGGTAACTAATGATGCTGGGCATCTTTTCCATGTTCTTTATTTGCCATCCACATTTAAGTGTCTGTTCAAATCTTGTGCCTATTTGGTTTTGGAGTTTCTTTATCATTGAGTTTCTGGAATTCTTTATATATTCTGGATATAAGTCCAGATCAGATATATAGTTTGCAAGTATCTTCTAGTCTGCAGCTTGTCTTTTTATTTTCTTCACAGAATCTCTAAAGGGCAGAAGTCTAATTTTGAACAAGTCTAATTTAATAAAGATTTTCTTTATGGATTATGCTTTTCATTTTATGATCGAAAAGGCTTTGCTTCACTCAAGATGGCACATTTTCTCCTATTAAGTTTTGACTTAACATATGATATAAGTATGGTTCATATATTTGAATATGGGTATACAATTATTTCAGTATCATTTGTTGACAAGTCTATCCTTTCTCCAATGAACTGTCTTTCCATATTTGACAAAAATCAGCAGCCACATATATGTATATTTTTTCTAGTTTATTCCACTGAATTCTTTGTCTACTCTTACGCCTATATGACTACATTTTGATTAGTATGAATTTACAAGTTGTACGATTTAGTCCTTGTATTTTTGTTCTTTTACTAAGTTGTTTAAATACTCCAAGTCCTTGGCAATGTCCTGGGAATACTAGAGTCAGTTTGTCAATTTTTATAGAAAATTCAAAAATGCTTGTCTAGAATTTGATTTGGATAAATGGAATCCATAGTTCAACTTGGGGAGAAATGACATCTTAACATTTCGGATCCACGAGAACAATGTAGTTCTCCATTACTTAGGTCTTTTCTAATTTCTCCTCTCAGCAGTTACATAGTTTTCAGAAGACAGGTGTTTATGAGTCTTTTGTCATATATATCCTTAAGAATATAATACTTTAAAGGGTATTATTTTAAAATTCCTTATCGTGTTGCTAGTATACAGAAATCCAATTAATTTTGTATTTGATCTTGAATCCTGCAACCTTTCCAGGCTGGTATTAATTCTATCAGCTACTGTGTAGATTCTATCTCATTTTGTACATAGATGATTGCATAGACTGTAATAAATACAGCTTTATTTCTTATTTTTTAATCTGGATGCATGCCTTTTATCTCACTGTCTCTTCTTTTTACACTGTCTGAAACCTCTACTATAATGTTGAAAAGTGGTGAAAACTAGATCTGGTAATCATGTCGGTTTTCCTCCTTTTGTTAGTTAATATGGTTGATTATTGAAATGGTCTTTGTCAAATCAACATTGCATTCTAAGATACATCCCACATGTTCCTGATGCCTTGTTTTTTTTTTTACATATTGCTGGATTATCTTTGCAAGCCTTTCATTTTTTTCCCCCACTTTTTAATTCTGTATCTATATTTGAGAGGTATTAGTTTGTACCTCTTTCAGTGTTTTCAGATTCAAGTTTCAGACCAATGATGGTCCTTAAAATGCTTTGGAAGTTACTTTCTGTCTTTAAAGTTTCTAAAGGAGATTATTAGAATTGGCATTTTCCCATAAATACTGAGGGCAATTTATCGATGTTGTGATCTGACTTGAATTTTGTGGGAACATGTGGGATGATTCAAATGATTTAATAATTTGTATCTCAAGGAAATTACTTCATCTAAGATGTAGACTTCATTGGTATAAAGCCACTCATAATACTCTTTTGGTACTAAATATCTTTTTTTTTAATGTCTATGGATTGTTATCATGTTCTCTTTATTCCTAATTTTGGTGACTTTTTTTTTTATCTTCCACGATCAATATGACTTTGGGTTTATCAATTATTGATTTCAAATAATGTTTTTGGTTTCATTGGTTTTCTCACATTTTCTAATTTCCACTGTAATTCTTTGTTTAATTTACAGAGAAAGGCTTCACCAGAGACAGAGTTGGGGGCAGGACAGGCAAATCGATGAAGTACACTACTGAGGGGAGCAGTGGGTGAGACAGGAGAGGTCTGCTGCGCCATGAGGGTTCACCTCCGGGCCTGGGGATCAGACTCACACTGAAACAGCTGTGGCTAGCTAGCAGCGCTGTGTCCTAACCTCTTGTGCCACCAGGGAGGGCCCTCAAAATACTTTTTTTTTTTTTTAAAGATTTATTTGTGCATACAGAACTGGGGTACAGGCCAGAGGCTCAGGGGCGGCGAGAGGCTTCACCAGAGACAGAGTGGGGAGCAGAACAGGCAGATCGACGAAGTACACTGCTGAGGGGAGCAGCAGGCGGGTCAGGAGAGGTCTGCCACGCCATGTGGGCACCTCCGGGGCAGGCGGGAATCGAACTCATGCGGAAGCGGCTTTAGATTCTCAGTGCTGTGCTTTAACCCACTGCGCCACCAGGGAGGGCCTCAAAATACTTTTTAATTTCTCTTTTGGTTTCATCATGATTTACATAACTGTTTCATTGTATTTTTACATAACTGTGTTTTCATTATATTTTTCTGAATTTGTAGATAGAAACAAGAAATGTTCCTGTTAATTGATTTCTTAGTTAAGTGTGGTCAGAAAATATACTTTGAATGATTTAAATCCTTTTAAAGATATTGAGACGTATTATGAACGTATAAGACGCATAAGACGTATTATGAACCAGAATAAGATCTATCTTGGTAAAGGTTCTTGAAAATCTTTAAGAATATTTGAAAAAGATATGTCTCCTGCTGTCATTAGAATGAAACTGTCAGTTAGGTCAAGTTAATAGACTGTGTAGCTCAAGCCTTACATGTCCTATTTTCTCTTTATTTGGCCTGCAAAATTACCATGAGAAGGTTTTTGAAACATCTGGCTATAAATATGCATTTATCTATTTCTCATTTTAGTTCTATTTTTTTTTTTTTAAGCTGCATTAGTAGGGGCAAATCATTTAGGGTTATTATGTCTTTTGGCAAAATGCAAAATGGCTTTCATCAGTAATAGTCCTTGCTTGAAAGTTGACATTACCTGACATTAACAAGGCCATCTGGCTTTCTTTTACTTGTGACCAGTAAGTGTCATTACAAAAGTTAATTTTTTTATAGGCAGCATCTAGCTGGCTTTTTTCTACTCTGACACACTGCCTTTTTTTCATTTATTTAAAAAATATTTAATAAAAATATATTTATGCATGCAACACGATGATTTTGATACACATAATAAAATGATCACTTGAATCAGCTGGTTAACTCACATTGAGAGCATGTTAAATCTATCCTTAGCATTTTTCTATTATTCAACACAGTGTAATTAACTACTGTCACCATGCAGTACATTGTAATTAGTCAGTCTATGTGACTGTAACTTCATACTTTGACCAATATCACCCTACTACCGGCCGTGGTAACCATTATTCTCCTCTTTGGTTGCATGAGTTCAACATTTTTTAAATTCCACACAGAAGTGAGATCATATAGTATTTCTTTCTGGGCCTTGCTTATTTCACTCATAATGTTCCCCAGATTCATCCATATTGTTGCAAATGAATGCTTTCCTTCTTTTTTGTGGCTGAACAATATTCCACCATATATGTGTACCATATGCATAAAATGTATAGACATATATAGACATATATCATCTTTATCCATTAGTCTGTCAGTGGATACCAGACATAGATGTTTCCTAGCATATCAGAATTTAAAAATCTAACTAATGTTACAAGTCATCCCTCTCAAAGCCTCATTTTATAGTTGGGGAATAAGAACCAAAAACAAGGTTATATACAAGGGCCAGAGTATAAACTCAGGTTTTGTTTTTTGTTTTTTATCTCTATTTAGCACTCTGTCCATTTCTAAGGAAATATGTATACTTGAGTTTACTTTCACATATCTAAAAATTACATTTAAACACATGGAAACCACCTCTTTTCTAAATGATCCAAGTTTTCTCCTAAATCTGGGAGCAGTGTCTAAAATATGGGAGAACAACATATAGAACATCAGTTTCACTTTTACACAAATGCACATTATTAGCTATAAATTACCAAAATAAAAACAACCACTATGGCTTAATATCATCTTCCTAATTTAAATGCACTAAAATATAAGAACAAAATTGTAAATTGCTACTTTTCTCAATTACAGGGAACTGAAAAAAGAAAGTGGGAGAAATACTGCTTATTCTATATATCTACTCAAGATTTGTAACATACTTTTTAACATACTATAAGCTCTCACAGGCTCTGAAATGATGAAGAGACCTCTGCTTAATACAATGTGTACGGAACATATAAAAAGATATTCTACTACCAACAAAAATTCACTGGAATTTACTATAATGCTAACTTAACCTAGTTTCAAGAAAAATATAAAAGTCCTTGTCTTATATAAGTGATTCCTTTTACTGTCATAAAACTTGAAGAGAAAAATTAGAATACTTGGTACAACTGAGAGTTCTGGGGAGTCATCATGAAAACCAATTCACACCTATGGCTTTCCTTAGTTTTGTAGCAATTGAGAGCTAAGCATTACAAAGTGGGACAGATATCAGTGTTGGGTATAATAGCATCAGCTTAAATGAATTCTGTGACTCATTCATGAAAGAAATAAGTGGACTTACAGAATTACAACATGAGAGTTTAACAGAAAAATCACTTGGTTTACTCATTTTCTTTTAGGCAGATCACTATTTTATCATTCACAATCATGAATCTGAAACTGCCTTCCTAATTAAACAAGCAAAAGTAGTACCTGTAATGTTTCTCTGCATACATAGGCTATCTGCAATTCTGATAATGGTCCAGTAACTAGAAAGGAAAAACAACAACAACATATTAATAATTATTAATAAATTTGAATATAACAGATAAAAAATAATATACTTCTAAAAGCACCTAAAGAAATGCTTCCAGACAAGACAGCTGCACTCTGCTTATATCATACATAAAGAATCAACTCTGCACTTGGTCCTCCATCTGAGGGGTGTCTATTAGTGTCCAAGAATAACACTACTATGCATTCCCGTCATTTGTTCCAATTTAATTTCAGAAAGTATTTGCTTTTAGTAACAGCTTGTTTAAAATGTAATTTAAAATTTTAATATTTTAAATCTACTATATTGAAATTTTTAAAAAAGGAATTTAAACTCCTTGAGCAGTAATAAAAGGCATAGAAATATACCACACTCAAATGAGGGCAAGGTTAATAGTAAACACTTTTGCCAGTGGCTTTATTAACTCTCCCTTCACTGAAAGTTTCCCTCACCTTCCTCTGCCCCAATCAGCTGATTCAAGCTAAATGTTAAGATTTTAGACGACAGAAGTGATTTCACAGGTGATTTGAGTGAACCATGTTGAATTAATCTAAAGCAAAAGTCATACTTGATGACTGCAAAGTCAGTGTCGTAGTTGCTGCACAGACACCATCCAATAAACGTCTGGGGAAATAAACTAGACTCCCCCCTTAATGTCAATGCCATTTTAAAATGTTACTTATTGTCTGGAATTTTAGTAAAGTTAAAGTAATAAAGTCAGCTTGAGGAGAACATGAAAAAATAATAAAGTTTTAAGTCTCTTAAAGAACTTCTGTATATAAAGTTTTATGATTTCTTGTTATGAACACCTATTACTCCTATAAAAGGGAAACAATAGAAATTGAGAATTTAAAATGCATTTTAAAAATCAAAGATTTACTCCATAAGAAATTTGATCAGTGCAAAATATAAAAGCACAGTATCAGGCATCACAGGATGTTCTTTCTACAGAAAGTAATGCATATGACCTCAATCCCAGAAAATGTCTCCAGAATAAACCAAGATGTGAGATAAATATATTTCTAATTAACAGCCATATAGAGAAGTATAACGAGATTGAAGAGATTGACTCTTGAATATACTAAAAGGCATCATATGCATTTCAATGGTGACAGTATTATCTCTTTATTATTCTTTTTTTTATTATAATTCTTAACTATGTCTATTAAATATCGAAGTTTGATGTTTTACCTTACTTAAGAATTTAAAAAGTAACCAGGTCACTTCTGAAAAATGAACCTCTTTCAATTATGAAACATAAAAATTCTTATACAAGTACCCTAAAGGAGTCTGGAAATACATCTTTCAACAACATGAGAGAATACTTGAAATCTAGGGTGATGTCTGCTGACAATGAAATCAAATCAGGTACTTGCATGAAAACTTTACCTAAAGGAAATATTTTATTGCATATTTTAATCACTAGTTCTCTATAATACTCAGAAACATAAGATATTGATTGTGCTACATTGCTAAAACAGAGTAGTAAAAAAATGGAAATCTACTATATTAAAGGCTTACTGTAAATACAGATATTCTTGATTACTATGTTATCAACTGTGTATCTACAGGGACAGAAAGTTCTTAGATTCAACTTAACTCAACAAATAACAGATTTAATAGTGGAAAGTAGAAATTTCATGAAGAAATAATACAAATGTCTCACAACAATTCTGTAAAAGTGGAAATGGTAAAAACTAATGCTAATTTTATTTATCCATATTCTTGAGTATTAATTCTGTAAAAGCATAGATGGTTAAAAGTCATAATTATTGTTTAAAACTTACGTAGAGGAAAATTCTTAATAAAATAACAAAATTCTTAAATTAAGTGGCACTTAATTTTTCCTACCAATAATTAAGACCAACAATGTAAAATGAAAGACTTAAATTAAAAAATGTTTTTTTCTTTTTAAAAATGGGATTCTTATTTTAAAAACTGTAATATTTTGTATGTTTATATATTTACATGGAATATAGTCATCTTTTTAAGTAAAAGGAGTCAAAGACCAGAGTTTAGGCATCAATCCTACAGATTATGTATTGTATAAGATAGATAATTATTACATTTATTAACATAGGATTAAATAACATGAACACATTTTCATATAATTCAAAATATTACTATGCACTGTATTTCTCCTTAGAAGTAATGATTTAATTTAGTATACTTTCACTTTGCTATGCATTTACATTCATATGAAAATATAGTGAAAGAAAGTACAGTTGTACCTGACTATACTGTATAAACTCTCTCATGATTCACTTTTTCCATTAAATATATATATACATATATATATATATCCAGGTTGATATAAACAGAGATATTTTCTTTTTAAGTGCTGCATGGTGTTCTACATTACAAAGTATTTAAGTACTGCTCTATTTATTAACATTTTTAAAATATGACTTCTACAAGATATAAAACATTATTAACCTGAATAGCTCTTGTTTTCACACCTAGTATAGTTGTGTGTGTAAATGCATAAGTGAAATTTAATAAGACTTATTACAAAGATTTCAGCATAGAAATATTTTAAAATACTTCATATAATTTCTTAATAGGTCATACATACACAATTGTAAGCAGCTAAATAAGGAAAAGAAAAAGTATTTTAGAAGGATCTATGCTTAGTGTCATAAATTAAGGAAACTGTCAACAACAAAACATACTGAAACCTCAACTGTAGAGTCAAAGTTGCTACTTCTGAGTAGCAGTACGAGGTAATATATTCAACTCAGAAAACTATCTAATATAACTCTAAATAAAACATTCCAAAATTTTAAGTTATATATTTTAATACTATTAAAACATAACTGAAGTACTTTCCTAGTCAACAGGCTTAATTATATATAATAATTACTGTAAGACAGATAATTTTCTTTACCCTTTGCAATTCAATTCTTATTTACAAGGAAATGTATAGCTTTGTCATAGATAAAATCCTTTTCTAGAGGTTACATCCAAAAAGCAATTTTGGATTATATAGTACTCTAGAGTTTCTCAGTTCAGGTTTCAGCAAATGTTACCAAATAACAAGCAAAAATAAAATTTAGGAGCAGAAATACAAGACTATCAAACAGTAAATCTAACACTACAATCCCTGGATAACCATAAAGGTGAAATAACAACTGTTAAATCAAAGTCCGTTTTAAAATGTAAAATACCAGTACCATGGTAAATATCTTGAAGTGATCCACCACCACAGTATTCCATACAAATCCATAGTTTCTCCCGACTAAAATGAAGAGAAAGAAAATCATCATATTAGCTAGTAATTGTGTGTTTTGTGTGTGTGTGTGTGTGTGTGTGTGTGTGTGTGTGTGTGTGTAGAAAATCTGGAGTGTAGGCCAGAGATGCCATGGGGTGAGAGGATTCACCAAGGACAGAATGGGGAGCAGAGCAGATGGATCTATTGAAATACACTGCTGAGGGGAGCAGCAGATGAGACAGGAGAGGTTGCTGCACCCTATGTAGAATAGCTCCCTGGGTGGGGGGTGGAATTTAGGCTGTAGTTATGCTGAGACTTAATCCCTAGACCACCAGGGAGGCCCAGCTAGTAATCCTTAAAACCTGAAAGACTTTGAAGGTTTTTCACTCTTTAATACACCAAGGTTTAGGATTGATTGCTCAGTATAACTGGAAATTGCCCTGTTAGTCTTTCATCAAGATACAGAACAGCTTATTAACTTCAGTTTTTCACCCATCTTAAGTGGTTTAAAATATGATCAGTTTTATAAACTAAAACATTCAACTGTAATAATTTTTAACATTTCATTTATGATTGCTAGGTAACATATATAATTATATAAATGGAGGTGTCACTATAATGGGAAGAAAACTTAAGAAACTTTAGAAATTTGGTATAATTTTAAAAATCTATATACATAACAGCACTTAGGTGAAAGAATGGTAACACAGAGAATATAAAATACAAAGAGAAAACATGTTTTGTTTTACCTGAGATAGCTTCCAAAGTAGGCAACAATATTGCAATGTTTACATTCTTTAACCATAAATATTTCTTGTTGAATCAAAGAAAAATCATCTCCTGAAAAATAAAACAACAACTTGGTTACCCTGTTGTATTTTAAGCCTGTATGGAAAGAAGGAAATTTTTACAATAAATATTAGAGACGGGCACTCCCAGGTGGCACAGCACTGAGAATCTAAAGCCGCTTCCTCATGAGTTTGATTCCCGCCTGTCCTGTAGGTGACCACATGGCGCGGCAGACCTCTCCTGACCCGCCTGCTGCTCCCCTCAGCAGTGTACTTCATCGATCTGCCTGTTCTGTTCCCCACTCTGTCTCTGGTGAAGCCTCTTACCACCCCTTAGCCTCTGGCCTGTACCCCAGTTCTGTATGCACAAATAAATAAATCTTTTAAAAAATAAATAAATAAAAAATATTAGAGATGAAGAAGAGAATGTAAACTGATAGACTCTTTGTATAAATCCAGAAGCATTACAAATATGTAAAATTGTTGAGCCCTTAATTTCATTTCAGTTTTTTCTTAAGAAGATACATGCATAGATGTATGTATAGGTTTTCTACAGTATGACTTAATAATGAAAGAATAATTAAATAAATAAAGTAGGTACAGTTACAGATATTATACATTTAAACACATTTTAATACAAAAATATGTTTGTGATATACTAAGTGAAAGAGATTATACATACTATTTAAGTTCATAAGTATATGGGAGGATTCTCAAAAACATACACAATGCTAATGCATGGGTGGTAAAATTAAAAGTGATTTTGCTTTCTTCCTTGTAAACTTATATCCATCCAAAATTTGTCCATCAAAAATTTGAGTTGTTAATCTTGAAAAGTTACATTAAAATGAAATATTGGTTACTTATGGGAACTGCACTGTTAGCATGGTAAGATTGCCTAAAATAGTACTGTCACCATCAAGCTCCATTTTGTATAGAAATAATGGTTTTCCAGTAAAAGGAGTTTATCATCAGTTAACAAATGATGACATATATATTATGTAAAGACAATATAATGTAGAAGAGATTGATTTACAGATTAGGCACACCTGGATTAAAATCCTAGCTCATCAGCCATTCATTGGCAATATAACCTTGGAGAATTTGACCCTTTGTGCCTGCTTTATTTGCTAAGCAGCACCTGAATTCATCCCACCTATTTAGCTTCCTTATCTAGGGTTTTTCTAAACATTCCCTATATTTTAGTAATACCAAATTGCTGATGATTTTGTAAAAGATTCCTACACTCCCATATTTATGTTAATACTTTTCCCTCAATTGGGAATGTTATGAGAGGTTGTGTATAGAGAACATATTACAGTACATTAATTTGAATGTACAGATGCACTCTACGTTAACTGTAGCACTATTTACAAAACCAAGTCATGGAACCAACCCAAGTATCCAGTGATAGGTTAAATGTATTAAGATGTACATATACACAACAGAATACTAATGAGTTAAGATGAAATCTTGTCATTGTTACAATATGGATGAAACTGTAAGGAACAGTTCTAAGTGAAGTAAATCAGAAGGAAAATGACAAATACTGAATAATTTCACTTATATGTGGAATACAGAGGACCAAAACAAAGGAACAGACAAAACCAAACTAAAATGAACCCTAGAAAGCTGACTGTAGAGTTAAAGCACTCCTAAGGGAAAAGTGGAGGGTAGAGAAAAGGCCTAAAAGGACTATGGTGGAGGAATACAGGTGTCTTGGTGGTAGGTGTGGTGTGGTAACATATATGTGAAGAGATGTAAGCCTATACCTATGAGTCATATACACTGTTATAAAATGTCACCTCAAGAAAAATAAAAAACAATAGAGAATTGCTATTGGTGTAAATATTAATTTTAAAACAAAGTACTTTTTTGGTACTACTTCTCTTCATTCCCTTGAGTGGAAAGGACAAGGAAAGAGAAAGAAACACATACATATGTAATATTCTGCCTCTCCCTAGACAGTTTTGATTTCTGGTTATTGACTCCAGGAAAACTTAATTGCCTACTTTCCAGTTTTATGTAGGACACAATTTTTAAAAGCCTTAAAACATGACTAGTAAATTTAAGAACAACTATTGCTATATCTACTCAAGGAAAAAAAAAATCGAAGTTCTGAAGTTAAGCTTCAGACATGCAAGGAGAGTACCTCCAACAACAAAAGCTTTTGCATAAACCCAGAAATCCTTCCCAAAATGTCCTTAAGACTTCATTTTCCTATATTTTGTGCAAGATTTTCATATCTAAGTTCATGAGAGATACCGATCTGTAGTTTTCATTTTTATTATGGTGTTTTTGGTTTTGGAGTGAGGATATGAAAGGGCTCCTACACTATATTCCAATACAGCAGTCTGTGGAATTTCCCCCAAACAAATAGGCAATTCTGTTTGTTGAATGGGAATTCTAACTTCTAAATTGTGTTGTGGTTAAAGGGGAAAGTTCCTCATATCAAAAAACAAACAATGCTCAAACACCAACAGAATGTCAGAATTCAACTCAGCTCAGCTCAATTTTGACACTGACAAGAAAGCCTGAGAAACCACAGGTTAAAGGTTCACTGTCTCCAGACAGCCTTCTTCAATATTATAGGTGTCACTTGCAAGCCCATGTTGTCCACCTATGATCCAGAGCAACCTGCTATAGATTGGGTGTCCCCACAATCTCCAAGTTACTATCTCTGCTTCTGACCAACTCGCCATAAATCAGTTTCACAGGGCCCCTTCCTTAGATAAGATTAATTGCTAGAGCAACCCACAGAACTCATGAAACACTTATTTACTAGATAGTCATTTAGTAGAAAGGATATAAATCAGTAGCCAGATGAAGAGATGCATATGGAAGATATGGGAAAAGAGTATTGAGTTTCCATGCTGTCCAGGCACATCACTTTCCACAAATCTCCACATGTTCACCACCTGGAAGTTCTCCAGTCTATTCCTTTTTAGTTTGGTAGGGGCTTCACTACATAGTTACATATGATTGTTTAAATGCTTGACAATGGCAATTGAGCTCAATCTCCAACAGTTTTTCCTCCTTGAAGGTTGGAGGTCAGATATGGAAAATAGGATGAAGACTTAAAAGTTCCAACCTTCTTTTTTTTTTTTTTAAAGATTTATTTATTTATTCATACAGAACTGGGGTACAGGCCAGAGATGCGGAGGGTGAGAGGATTCACCAGAGACAGAGTGGGGAGCAGAACAGGCAGATCAACTAAGTACACTGCTGAGGGGAGCAGTGGGCGGGTCAGGAGAGGTCTGCCATGCCATGTGGTCACCTCCGGGGCAGGTGGGGATCGAACTCATGCGGAAGTGGCTTTGACTTCTTAGTGCTGTGCTTTAACCCGCTGCGCCACCAGGGAGGGCCAAAAGTTCCAACCTTCTAATCACAAGTTAGTTCTCCAGGCAACAAGTTCCAGTTACCTCATTCACATAACAAAAGAGACCTTTTATCCCTCTCAACTCTTAGGAAATCACAAGGATTTTGGGAGTTGTGAACTAGAAACTATGAGGACCAAATGTTGGAGAGAAATATATCTTGGTCATCAGTAATCAAATATGTATTTCATATCCATTACAATATCATAGGCAATACTAGCATTATAAAATGAAGTAAGCATGTTAACTCTTATTTATTTTTTTAAAGATTTCTCTGGTGGGTATCAGAAAGTAAAACAAACAAAATATATATGCCATATAGTGCTAAGTGCCAAGAAGAGAAATAACTAGAGTTGGGAATAAAGAGTGGAGGTAACCTGTTTTACATAGAGAGGAATGGTCAGGTAGACCACAGGTTATGATATTTGAGGAAAGAGATGAATGTGGTAAAGGAGAAGATCAGATAGATTATCTAACAGAACAACATTCCTGGTTCCAGGAACATCAAGTAAAAGCTTTAAAATGGATGTCTGGCATACTAGAAAATAGAAAAAAATCCAGTGTATATATTATTTAAAACCAACAAAAGAACAATTTTTGTGTGTATTTGTGCCCTCAAATTAACGTTTTTCATCAGCTCAGACTTGAACTTTCAAAACAGTTAAGACAGTAAACCAATATTTTACTTTACAGATGATTTTTAAAAATCAAAATTGTTAGATTTTAAAACAGGATACCAAAGCATACCATTTAACCAGAATAACTGACATTCATTTTATTTAGACAAAATTCCTATGATGGAATTTCTTTCAACAACAGTAAATAACTAATGGCTGATTAAATACTTGAACACTTTGATTTTCTTAAAATTTTACCTTCTTTGCTTTAACTTCCAGGAAACAAGGTGAGGTTATTAAAAAACATATCTGAGGAAAGTACTAAAGATCTATTCAAAGATATCTAAAGATACCTACTTATTTTGGAAACTAACCCAGTTAATACATTTAACTTGCCTTTTTATTTAAAACTGCTAGATTATCTCATGAATAAATCCAATTTAGCTTTTTTAGAAACATGCACACAAACAACCAAAGTATACTGCATTAATCATTCTAGGCAATGATTTTATTACATTTTACTCTTGTCAGCAAAGGCTCACAGTATTTAACAAACTGTAAGTTGCCTGCAAAATATATCCTGCAGTTTTACCATAAAAGAGAGGTAAATTGGAGAAGAAAAAGGGGGTAGAAAGTTAAAGTCTAGAAGACTAGTAGACTATTCTTCCTAGGAATCTTGCTTCTGTTCTAGCTGTCTGGCTGTTACTAGCTTCAGAATTGCTGAGGAAAAAAAAAAAAGCATCTGTAAAATGAGTTAGAAAGCAGGCTGAAAGCAGACAAAGGAAAACATGATGACATGCATCATCATCATATCTCCCTGCTTTTTCTAGAGCAGTACTGATTCTGAACACAAGAGACAGAAAGTACAACTAAAACTCAAAATGGTACTGATAATATTTATTTTCAGCGTTAAGCACTGGTTAGTCAAACTTTATTTGAATGTCACCATTTGTAAGATGGTATCTGCATTCACTATCTACTACAAAAATGGTTAAATTATTCTTAAAAATAATCACTTGCTATATGTACAAAGAGCATCGAAATATAGGAACATAGGAAAGAATGCTGACACATTTTCTTCTTGTAGCTGTTTGAAAAACCAATTCTTTGTGCTCATCTAATTTTACTTTCCACTCATCTAATTTTCACTTTTAACTTTATAATCTTTATTAATGTTAGCAAACCTCAAAATCAAATTGTTGGGAAAAGGGGAAGGGAAAAAGCTATCTTTCAGCAAAAATTTAAATATAACATTAAATTACCTGAGGGAGGTAGGTAAATCTGTTAACTTCAATAATCTAGTTTTAACTGGATGAAAAGTATTAGGTTCACAGCTGGAATTTCATTTATCTATTTTTTTAAAGTCTCATCTATGTTTTACCAGACAAGATTTTTTTCTAAGTCATATTGGCAAATAATTATCTTTTCATGTCTAAATAAAAGTCTAAACCAGTTCATCTGTTAAATCAATACAAGGAAACACATCCATATTATATTGGCATTAGTGCAATGGTTTAAAAAGCTACTGAAAAAAGTTAAGAATGCATTTATTACAAAAAGCTGTCTTCAGAATTATTTGAAATATATGAACTGAATTTCGGAAAAATTAATCAGTGTACTCCATTTTTGACCTAAACATTGCCTTAAATCTTTTCAAAAAATGCGAAAAATGCCACACTGGCTTTACTAAAACAAAAACACAACCAAAAGAATCTGGTATAAAAACCTATGCTCAACATAGGGAATATTTTTATAAAGGTAAAAACCAAAATAAACCCAAATAAAATGTATTAAAACAGACTAAATGAATAAACTCAGTCACAAATAGATCAAGTCCTCAAACTTTAAAGCATATATGATGAAATGAATGATACTATTTACTAAAAAATATACTTAAAGTGGGCCCTCCCTGGTGGCGCAGTGGGTTAAAGCACTGCACTGAGAAGCTAAAGCCACTTCTGCATGAGTTTGATTCCCACCTGCCCCGGAGGTGACCATATGGCATGGCAGACCTATCCTGACCCGCCCACTGCTCCCTTCAGCAGTGTACTTCGTAGATCTGCCTGTTCTGCTCTCCACTCTGTCTCTGGTGAAGCCTCTCACCGCCCCTGAGCCTCTGGCCTGTACCCCAGTTCTGTATGTACAAATAAATAAATCTTTAAAATGTATATATATATATATATATACTTAAAGTATTAGAAAAACTATTTCATTTCCCCAGTCACTAATTTTATAGTTTTTATTTACTGAAATTTAATTACTATTAACTACAAACCAAAATCTGAAGATATAATAGGTAGTAAGGCCTAACTTCTTGAACATCACAGCTTTGCAATACTAGTATAGCATGAAAGAATTAAATTCTAAAATATTACTAAAATGAAATAAAAAATAAACAAAAAGCACCAATGTATAATGCTAATGAGTTGTAATTATCTATGTATGTCACTAGTATCCCCCAATGCTAACCTCATTAGACAAAATCAGGCCTTTCCAAAGTAATTTTAAAAGTTAAAAAACTGAAATAATTTTAGTAATTTAAACAAAATTGAATTTTTTAAAAATCAAAAAAGATAAAAAGTCTTCTTGAAATTAAGAATCAAAATTGCAGATGGAAAAAGTTCACCATGTTCCAGGGGGGAAATCTGCAGAAAATGATCAAGACCAAGATCCATTCTGTTGAAATTACTAATTTCAAGACAGAGAATCTCCAGTTTCTGCTATAATCTGATAGACATGACATGAGGAAAATAGTGGGGCCAGTTTTACAATATTCTTTAACTTCTATACTAATATTGCAAAGCTGTGATGTTCAAGAAGTTAGGCCTCACTACCTATTATTATATCTTCAGATTTTGGTTTGTAGTTAATAGTAATTGAATTTCAGTAAATAAAAACTATAAAATTAGTGACTGGGGAAATGAAAGTTTTTCTAATACTTTAAGTATACTTTTTAGTATATAGTATCATTCTTTTCATCATATGTGCTTTAAAATTTGAGGACTTGAGAAAAATATTTTTCAAACAGCTAAGGGAGAAAAATGTCAAGATCTTTTTGTTTTTGAATGGCAAAATGTGTGATGCAATAATTCTGCACTTAGTCAATGATCATTCTATTTCAAAAGCAACACTTCTAACATTCATCCGTATTTAGTGCCCACTATGTCTATGTGCCTCTACACTTCCAAGTGCTAAAATATAGCCTTGAAGGCAGATCGTTATCCTCAAGGATGTTATATTCTAGGAGAAACAATGGCAATTAAACAAACATTTATAAATAAATAAATAAGAAAAGTATCAGACAATTACAAATCCTATGCAGAGAATTAAAATAACAAGGACCTAGGTGGCTACTCTAGAATATCAGAAGTAGGTCTAGATATCTGAAGACATGACATTCAAGATGAGAATTTAATGACCAAGAGTCTTGAAAAAAAAAAAAAAATGATGAGAAATAACAGTACTTCAGAAAAAAAGGAAGGGCAAAATGCAATCTTGGAATACTGAAATAAAAAGAAAATGGAGAAAAAAGGAACAGTAGGGAAGACAGAGGTACATGAGCGCTCAGAAAAGTACACAGGGGAGGGTCATGTTGGGCCTTTTTTTTTTTTAAAAAAGATTTATTTATTTTTGCATACAAGAACTAGGGTACATGCCAGAGGTGCAGGGGGTGAGAGGATTTGCCAGAGAGAGTGGGGAACAGAACAAGCAGATTGAACTGAAATACATTGCAGAGTGGGGCAGCAGGGAGATAGGAGAGGTCTGCTGCGCCATGTGGGTCAGCTCCCTGGCCGGGGATCGAACTAATGCTGCAATGGCTGCAGACAGCTTCATAGTGCTGCACTTTATAATCTGTTGTGCCACCAGGGAGGGCCCCATGTAGGGTCTTATAAGCAAAGCTCAAAGTTTAAATACTGTTCTAAGTGGATTTGGAAGTTCAAAGAAGGTTTTAAGCAGAAAAGAACTATGACCTGATTTGTATTTAAAAACACCCTGGAGACTTTATGAAAACTAAATGGAAGCTCAGGTTGGAGAGAAAAACACCTAGACTAGGAAAGCAGAGATGAAAGAAGATAGATTTGGGATATGTTTTGGAGATGGACTTGCAAGTAACCTGCTGACATATTTGGGGTGCAAATAAAAGAGGGAAATTCAAGACATGCCAGTTTGTGGCTTTGCTAAATTCTTAGTAAATGGGGAAGACAGAGGATAAAGAAGGTTTTAGAAAAACAATGTGTGGTTCAAGTTGTATTATTCCTTACACTTACAGGAAAATTTCTTTAATGATATGATTTATTCTATGAATAAGTAAGTCAGAATGGCAAAGACAATATCTGCAAACCAATGGTAGGCAATGAGTCTATTAAAATATAAAACTTAGTCTAAATAACCAGTACAATTCTTAAAAAACAAAAACAAAACAAAAAAACTTGCAGGCTAATGCACATCAACACCCCAGTTAAAAAAAAAGACTTCAGGGGATAAACACTAAAACAAATTAACAAATATCTGAAAATTGGGTGATGAAATGTGAAGTATGTGTGATGATGGGTATTCAACAGACTTATGGTAGCAATCATTTCCCAATGTAGACAAATATGGAATCAGGTTGTACAGCTAAAAGTAAAATGTTTTCTGTTGATTATAAATCAATTTTTAAAAATGGATCAAGGGGCCTTCCCTGGTGGCGCAGTGAGTTAAAGCACAGCACTAAGAAGTCAAAGCCACTTCAGCATGAGTTCCATCCCCGCCCTGGAGGTGCTCCACATGACCCGGCAGACCTCTCCTGACCTGCCCACTGCTCCCCTCAGCAGTGTACTTTTTCAGTTGGCCTGTTCTGCTCCTTACTCTGTCTCTGGAATCCTCTCACCGCCCCCGCACCTCTGGTCTGTACCCCAGTTCCGTATGCATAAATACATAAATAAATCTTTTTTAAAAAATGGATCAGGCCCTCGGTGGTGCAGCCAGTTAAAGCATGGCACTAAGAATTGAAAGCCACTTCTGCAAGAGTTCGATCCCCGCCTGCCCTGGTGGTGACCACATGGCGTGGCAGACCTCTCCTGGACCCGCCTGCTGCTCCCCTCAGCAGTATACTTCCTCCATCTGCCTGTGCTGCTCTCCACTCTGTCTCTGGTGAATCCTCTCGCTGCCCCTGCACCTCTGGCCTGTACCCCAGTTCTGTATGCACAAATAAATAAATCTTTAAAAAAAAAAAGGATCAAACTATCCCAACATACTACACCAAATAACACCCCCAATTTTCCTAATCAAATTCCCATAAAAGCTAAGATTAAAGTTCAAACAGTTCACTGTAATCTTTTTTCAATTTGTCCTCCAATTTTGGAATGTGCACATTTCAAATTTGACTTAGTAGTAAACTATCACATCACACTCATCTACACAACCATCAATGGAATTTAATATAACCATACTGGAGCTATTTTACTGCCCCAACAACATATACAGACAGCTATGAAGATGAAGGGAAATAAGGAAAAAAACAGAGGGAATGCTCTTAAGTTCTACATTTAAGAACTGCATGTGAAAAGACTTTAAAAATTGAGTGTTTTAATACATACCAGGCTCCAATTTGATGATTTTTACTGCAGCCAACTCTCCTGTATGTATATTTCTGGCCTAAAATGAAAATAAAACATTTTTAAAGTTTGTTAATTATACAAAACTTACTTGGTAATATGTTAATTAGTTGTTTATCAAGCAGGCTTTTAAAAAACTAAAGAACAAAATATTTCCAATAAAATAGGTATGCTCATTTTCCCACTAAAGAAAAATACAGAAAAGATACAGAATTACCTGTTAACTAATTTTCTATTGATATTACATAATTTAATTTACTAGTCTGCTTTTTTGGGGGGACATTTAGGATTTTAATATTATTTTGCAATTATAAAGAAATATTATGCTATCCAGAGTCTTGATTTCTTCTTTCAGAATAATTCCTACAATTTATTACTTTAAAAAAAATCATGGAGGCCCTCCCTGGTGGCGCAGCGGGTTAAAGCGCAGCGCTGAGAATCTGAAGCCACTTCCGCATGAGTTCAATTCCCGCCTGCCCCGGAGGAGACCACATGGCGAGCCAGACCTCTCCTGACCCGCCCGCTGCTTCCCTCAGCAGTGTACTTCGTCGATCTGCCTGTTCTGCTCCCCACTCTGTCTCTGGTGAAGCCTCTCACCGCCCCTGAGCCTCTGGCCTGTACCCCAGTTCTGTATGAATAAATAAATAAATCTTTAAAAAAAAAATCATGGACAGATTTATCATAATTTCTGTTGTCATGAGTACCATTGCAAATACTTTTCTGATGCTTCTTTTTTTCTTTTATCATTGTTCATTTTTGTACAATATTTGATTTCTCCCCTCAGATATAATCCCCAGAAATCTCCCATCATCACCTCACCCATGAACCATTACCATAACCCCTTGTGCTCTTGTTCCCTCCCCTGCATTAACCCCTTCCTCTGGTGTATGTCTCAGACTTATAATTTTCCTGCTAGTTCATTTTTTTCCCCCTCCTATAAGTGAACTACCCAATATTTTTCTTTCCCTTCTTATTTATTTCACTGAGCATAATCCCTTTCAGCTCCATGTTGCTGCAGACTACGTGAGTTTATCTTTTTTGATTGCTGAGTAGTATTCCAGTGTGTGTGTGTGTGTGTGTGCACATCTTTTTGATCTATCACTGCAAATATTTTAGTATGTATCAGTTTGCCAATACAACAATCTATAATTGTTGTATCTATACTGCCATATAAGATAATTGTGGGCATTTATACCCTCACCAAACTTTAATATTAAATCTTTGTTCTTCTAAGTTATCATAGGCAGATAGGTAAGTAGGTAATTATTTATATATATTCTCTTTCATGTTATACATAATTTCAGGGTACAGAATAGTCCATATAATCGTTCTCTCTTACTGATGAAGATTAAGGATGTTACACATAGTCTTCATTATTACGTAAGATTTTTTTTTCTTTCAAATGAATTCTAAGGTATGGTGGCATTACTAGCCCAGAGGATATAAATATGAACATTTAAGGTCAACAGATACTATAAAAACAGCCTAGAAGTACTGTATCATTGTACTCTCATTGCTAATAAGCACTCATTTTCACTACAATCTAGTTGCACACCATCTGCTGAAATATATTTTTTTAAAAGATTTTTATTTATTTATGCATACCGAAATGGAGTACAAGCCAGAGGTGCAGGGAGTGAAAGGATTCACAGAGACAGTGGGGAGCAGAACAGACAAATCGATAAAGTACACTGCTGAGGGGAGCAGCGGGTGGGTGAGGTAAGGGCTGCATGCCATATGGATCATCTCTGGGGGCAGGGATCGAACTCGCACTGAAAAGGCTAAGGCTAACTTGAAGTGCTGTGTCCTTACCTGTTGCGCCACCAAGGAGGGCCCTGAAATGCAATTTACTTATGTCTTTCACTGCTGTAGTAGATTCAAGTGTGAACATTTATATTTGGTATAAAAGGAGTGTATGGTAAAATTGGAAAGTATGTTTATACTAATTTATTAGATTAAATAAGACATATACCAGAGGAAAGAAGAGCAGAATAAATTGACAAAGAATGTAGGGAAGAGATCCTCAAATGGAATACCTTTTTAGAAATGACTTACAGAGGATGAGAAAAACAATAGGCTAGCAGAGAGGGATGCAGAATGAAAGACACAAGCATCAATTAAAAAAAAAAA